CGATTATAATTTCGTCTAATACCACGTCCACATCCATTGATACCTTCACGGTAATAATTTTTTCTTCTTTCAGACTTATCACATACTGCATTACATTCTCTTAAGGGAATGAGAATGAAGCAAATTCAATTGGACGAGTTTTCACTTCTTGTGCTCACGATCATACATGACTTTGATCATGGCAAGATATAAAAATTTTACCACTTCGGGTGGTTGTAATTTCTTACAAACTCCATTAGAGTTGTAATCAAAATTTATTGTCTTTGCTTGTATTTAAAATTAAATTATAGAATAAAAGAGAAAAATACTACCTATCCAGAATTTAATCATGAAGGAAATTCATTGAACAATTGACAATCATTATGCTCAATCCCAAAGCTTCTACTCAATTGGTTAGAGTCTCGTGCTGATAACGTGTTATAAAACAATAAAGAAGAAGAAGAGTATTGCAGAGAAAAGTAGAGGGAGAGAATTCTTATTGATTTGGGATGAATTACAATGGAATAGAACCATCTATTTATAGGGAAGGGTGACTTAGCCACCAAGTAATAAACCCTAGAATCTCTCTAAATATAGACATTCACCATAAATAAATAAGACGAGATTTCGGTCCGAGCCTCAGAATTATTTTTGGGTATAAAACGCTTCCCTATTATCTAATACGATACAAATTTGAATTAGTCGAAGTGTAAATACACGAAACAAAACAAAAAACAAAAAAGTAGCGCATGCTCACCTCCAAACAAGTTGGGTAGGGAAAAAGTAGAATCTGCAATTCCCACCTCCAAAAAGTGTATGGGTCCTATATATGAGCAAACAAATGCACTTCTAATAATTTTAAAGTTACTAGCGCATGCCCACTCCTATGTTCTTTGTTCGAAATTTTACTTACTTTTTTTACTTAGACCCCATTTGTTTAATTTCACCTATAAAATTAAAAAAAAAAAGGAGTTGGATACAAATTTGTTATATAAAAAATAGGAGTTTGAATATGGAATATTGAGATCTCAGCTTATTATATATATAGAGAGTGGTGGACTTATGTGTTATAGTGAGGGTCATCGGACCCCGTAAGTATACATATATATATATATTAAAAATGGTTAATTTAAATTACTTAGCACCTTGAACACTAAAAACTTTTATGGGACACCAGTTGAGCAGAATACATAAAATCCTGGGTCCGCCTCTATATATACACACTCTCTAGTACTGATGGTGAAATCAAGCAATCTAATGGATTTATTGGGTAAGATTTTTCAAATGTATAATATGATGCTAAATACAAGATGACACAAATAGTACAAAAGATCTTATCGACCCAATCTCTGGAAAGCAAATATGACAAGGGGTTTTATGGATTTACACGCACCAAAAGTTTATAATGATTTTACAAACCCAAAATCACTGGAAAATTAATAAAGATGATACCAGGAATCGTCTCACGTAGAAACTCATATTTCTGAGACCTCACAGCTCAAGCTCATCAAAGAAAAAAAGACGTTTATTAGCTCATTACAGTCTAATATCTCAAATTTTAAGGAAAAACCCCATAGTTCATTATTATAAAGAAATCATGTCTCATGTCAGCTAAGAAACTGTTGACACCACCCAAGGATTATAGTTGTACAGATATAGCAAAAAGTCCACCACAATCGTAATACTGAGCTCTTTCACACTGATTCTCCATCTCTCACTTCATCAACTGATCATATCATATCCACAACATACTCACAGCAAAATCCCAGATTAATTGGCAACTCAACATTGGAAACCGGATTTCGGAACAGCCAAAATTGGCTTGAACTTAACAAAAATGGTTCGACTTTTTTCTTCTGGTATTTTAATGTCTGAACAGTAACCTTCTGTTTTTTTTATATAAAAAAAGACAGTTTAAGGTAGTTGTGATCCACATAGATCGTGAACAGGAAGCTGGCAAGTTTGTCCAATAGACTGCAGCAAACACTTCTGTAACGACTCGGTCGGTCGTTTTGAGTATTTTAGCCCCGATCCCCTATTTATTGCCTCCTCTATGCTGTATTATGGTTATGTGACTTGCCGGGGTATTTGGTTTTGGTTTCGGGTGAGTTTCAGAGTGAAATGGGACCTATAGTCCCTAAGTTTGTAGCTTTGAGTTGAAAGAGTTGACTGTAGTTTGACTTTGATGTAGACGACTCCGGAATGGAGTTTTGATGGTTTCAATAGCTCCGTATGGTGATTTTAGACTTAGGAGCGTGTCCGGATGTTGATTTGGAGGTCCGTTGGTCGTTTCGGTGTGAATTGATGAAAGTTAGAAAATTCAAAGCTTGGAAGATTTGTTTGGGCATGAGGACTTTATTGATATCGGGGTCGGATTTCGATTCCGGAAGTTAGGTTGCGATTAGTAGAATCGATGTTGTTTGATGTGATTTTTTACCTCGAGTAGGTCCGTTAGGTGTTTTGGAACTTGTTGATATATTCGGACGGGGTCCTGGGTGCCCCGGATGTGAAACAGATTGAATCCGGAACAATTTTGGACTTGTGCAATTGCTGAACCATTGTTGTTCTGGTGTCATCACACCTGCGGAGGGTTTGGCCGCAGGTACGGAAATGCAAAAGCGAGGAGCTGATCACAGAAGTGAAGCTGGCTTTGCCCAGCTGGGACCGCAGGTGCGGAGGAGTGGTCGCAGATGCGGACGAGGCTAGCTTGGTCTATTGCCGCAGAAGCGGGCCTTGCCTGCAGGAGCGAGTGCGCAGAAGCGCGTTTTTGTCCGCAGAAGCGGATGCGCAGATGCGCGTTAAGACCGCAGAAGTGGAAAGTCATGGCCTAAGTGGAAAATGCACCTGCGATGGTTTTTCCGCAGGTGCAGCATCGCAAATGCGACTAAAGTCCCGCAAAAGCGAAATCGCTGGGCATAAAAGGCCTAATTTCAAGGGTTTGATTTCATAATCCATTTTTGGACCTAGAGAGCTCGATTTGTGGCGATTTTTCGAGAAATTTTCAAGGAAAAATTGGGGTAAGAAATCCTAACTCGATTTTGGTTAAATCACACGAATCTATTGTTAATTTCATCATTTAATTAGTGATTTGAGTTGGAAATTTGAGGAAAAATTGTGAAAACTTCTTAGGCTAAAATTTAGGAATTTGAAAGGCGATTTGAGATCGAATTTGAGTAATTCTTGCATGGTTGGACTCGTTATCGATTGGATGTTCGAATTTTGTAATTTTGGTCGAATTCCAAGACGCGGGCCCGAGTTGACTTTTTATTTCTTTGCAAAGATCGTAAATTTATTGTTCGAATTAGTTTCTTATAGTTTATATTATAGTATGAAGTTGTTTGGCTAGATTTGAGCCGTTCAGAGTTGGATAATCGAGGGAAAGGCCTTCTAGTGGATTGAGTAGCATGTGTTCGAGGTAAGTGTCTTGCCTAACTTTGTGTGGGGGAATTACCTCTTAGGATTGGTATTGTTTCTGATAACTGTGATGTGTGAAAGCCGTGTACACAAGGTGACGAGTGTGTGCACGGGCTAAATGTGAAAATTTACCGGTCTTAGCTATGTAGATTCCTTTCATGCCTTAATTGAGTTACCTTAATATGTTATAGTCATCATTTCTAGTCTATCTTCACATGTTCCACTTGCCTTATCTCTTACTTGTTAATTGCCCTACATGTTTAGTTGAAGTTGTTGTTGTTTCCTCTATCCCTTGTTCATTATTTAACCGTGAATTCTTTACTTGAAATTGTTATTCTTGGAATATCTTGTTGATGAAACCGGTATTGAGTTATAAAGGCCGTAATTCACGTTGAGACAAAGTGTTAAGTATTATTCTGTTGAGTTATTCACTTCCGGTTGATATTATTGCGACTCTTGTGTACATTGTGGTTGCGCCATGGGCTCTTTATTGTGAAAACACTGTTATTATTAATTTCTTTGGCAACTTGTGATATTGGGCACTTGAGGTGCGATTTGTGATACATTGTGATATTGGTACGCATGCAGTGGTATAAGATTTTGAGGTTGAAACGCATGCAGTGAGATAAGGCGGGCTTGATACGCGTGGCTAGTAAGGGAACTACTAGAAGCCACGCAATGTGATAAGGTAGGCTAAAATGCGAGATGCTATTTCGGGAAAATAATTTTTAAAACTAAATGCAAGTCTCCCGCGGTGATATAAAGAAAGATTGTGAATTATTTTCGTGATTTGAGATTACGAGGCGATACCTCGATAGTAACTCTTGTTGGTATTTCTCAATTGATGCACTCGTCTTTGGTTGTTATGTTTCCTTAACATATCATTTCTTGTTTTCTCTGTGTTGCATTATTTACTTTAGTTCCATGTAGCTAACCTTGATATGCTATTTGTTATTTCAATTTCATTACTATCATTACCACACCGCCATACACTTGTACAGTTTTTCTTATTTATTCTAGTAGGGTCTTGGCCTAACCTCGTCACTACTCTACCGAGTTTAGGCTTGACACTTACTGGTACCATTGTGGTTTACTCATGCTACGCTTCTGCACATCTTTTTGTGCAGATCTAGGTACCTCCTACTAGCCCAGGTATTAGCAAAAGCTCAGCTGCGGAGACTTCAAGGTATACTTGCCAGCGTCCGCAGGCCTCGGAGTCCCCCTCTACCTAGACTATTCTATTTGCTTTGTCCATTTTTTATAGACATTGATGTATAGGATTATTCAGTACTACTATTTAGAGCTTGTGACTTGCATTCACCAGGTCTTGGGAGTTGTATATACTAAGTTGCAGAGTTTATTTTACATAGTTGCTAAGTTTTGAGACTTTAATTATTATTTCAATTGCTTCTGTATGAATGTTAGGCGTACCTAATATTAGAAACTAGGTGACATCACGACATCCTACGGAGAGAAATTGGGATCGTGACAACTTCAGTCATCTCTACAAGCTAAATAGAATATACATTTTACTTGATAATCAGGAAGGAGCACCCGTAACTCTTTACCACAGTTTAAACCTGTAGTCCTGTACTAACTTGCGAAAGTTAGAGATAAAACATTTTTAGACCTGCATTAACCTGTAAAATTTAAAGATGAACGAATAGTATAGCTATTTCAGCACATACAAGCCACTCTCAATGGAATCCTTTTTCCGGTCCTAATCCTGGCTTGAATATTCATATTCATATACAATATATGAGGAGCTTTGCTCTGCTATGTATGCTTAATCCTGAACTTCCTATACTGATACCATCTATTATTTCTTTTTGTACCCCTAAAGAATCTAAACTTTTTCGTCATAATTGATGCATAATTACAATCAACAAGCCACTCATCCCCATTGGTCTGCAGAGTATGCTTGAAGTTGATTTTATCTTTGCAGCAAAAAGTAGTTTGTACGAGTCTTGTTATCTGGAAATTTGACTGTGGTCTTTGAAAGTCAGTTGTGGCCATCATAAACACCCCTTCTGGAGCTGTGCATAATTGGCTCATCTGTGTAGCAGGAAAAATTAAGTCATATTTGCCTGAGCTTCTACAGCTTGTAGAAAGTGATTTGCATGAGCTTATCGAGTTATTCGTTGTATATATGATTAGACAAAATAATTTATGAGCACAACAAGAAACGTAGGCAAGTGGCTACTAGCGTGTTAACAGAAATAGTCCGGTTCTCATATCAAGTCCTCAAAACATTATAGAGTGTAAATAAAGCGCAGATTACCTTCATCTTCATCTCCACCTTGAGTAGTAAAGAATGGAGTGAGGTAGTTTTTGTCCAGTGCTGAAAATGAAGTCGTGCTGGAGAAAATAAAATGCATTAAAAGACGGGAAATGATGAGGACCACCTGTGTCTCCCAGCAGTAAAACCCACTAGCTAGTTAGCTGGGATGATTTGGTAACGTTGAGGCGACCAAGGTTCAAATCTCCCTACACTTACATTGTGTCACAAGCAAATAAACATTACCTTTTGTGGAACTCCTTAAGTTTCATCCTGAACCTGTTCCCTGATGACGATTCACCATCATAAGATTCATCACTATAAGAAGGAGCTATATATCCATTGTTCCCCTCAAAGGTCTAAAGTCAGAAAAGAGCAGGAAAAAGTATTAGTGCATTGAGCAGAATTCAACTTATTACACTGTTGGAAAACAGCATTGCTAATACACTTACTTCACCCAAGGAGCCAGTATGACCATCACCCACAACTTCCAAGGCTTCTAACATGGTTCCTGTTGATCCTCCAATAATCAAAACCTGAAAAGTTGCAGTTTGATTAGATTATATCCAGAAGATATTGTGGAAGAGATCATCCATCCAGTATGAAGGAAGAATGGGTACAAGAGAGTAATAGTAATCAAAATGGAAGTAAAGCGATAAAAATCAGTTTAAATGAATCAATATTTGGAAAATGTCAGAGTGCATGGCTTCCGCAGAACACAGACATTATTCACCACCAGTTCGTGTCTGTCTTTTCTAATCAGCTTTTTCTTGTTCTTTCTCTTTTTCGTGATAAAGTTCTCTAATTCTACTCCAACATAGAGTTCTCTAAGTGACTGTCTAATACAATGATCTTTAGAGCTGTGTGTAATGTTAGACTTCTGTTTACCTTTATCTCGCACATACATTAAGACCAGTTGTTAGAAAAGCCTGTGGTTTCAGATAGTGCCACTGTGAATTACAATGGTCTTACAGAAGCCTTAGGGGTTGTTTCGTAGGGTGTATAAGAATAGCACTGAATAGGGTGTATAAAACCATTATATTGTTACACCGTATATCCCATTTATAATGCAATGAACCAAAAATCTCCTAGAGAAAAGCATACACACTAAATGATCAAGTGATATTATTCACCCATTGAATGGTTAAGGTTAGTGAGGAGTTCGATAACCCCTTCCAAGTCTCTCCAAACTCGGGAAGAATAACCACAGGCATTGCTTGCGCAGGCATGTGGTTGGCCTTTTGATTGCAAACAAAAATGCATGGTCGTGCAACTTTTAGTTTATTGCTTCAAAGTCATAAAACTAATCTCCGTACTGGAAAAACAACTCAAATACGCCTCTATATCATAAAAAAATAAAAAACGCCAAAAATGCTAAAGCTGGTCCCTCGAAATACAACTAGGCTATCACATTTAGGCATAGTTGAGTTATTTTTCCGTTACAAAAAAATAGTTTTATATCTCTAAAAAAAAAAAAACCCAAAAATCTATGGCCAGGGTTGTGGGGTTGTGTGTGTGTGTGGTTGGGGGTGGGGGTGGGGGTTTCAAGTGGCAAAGGTCGAGGGACCTATGACCTAGGTCACAGGTTCAAGCCCTGGACCATGCAAACGAAACATGATATATTTAAGTGGAGAAGAGTAGAGGCGCAGACCCATTATCCCCGAGTGTCGAAGGCTGCAGTTGGTCCTAAGAGTTGGCCCAGACGGATTTCTCGTCATCCAAAAACAAAACAAAAACTGAAAGTTGGATGATATATGTGAAATTAACCTTTCGTTGGTTATCTCATAAACTATGTAATGGAATGGTATTACATTGGTCTTGATAGAAGCCTTCTGATGTCAGGTAACAGGTAAAGAGCCCGTTTGGATAGACTTAAAAAAAAGTAGCTTTTCAGCAGAAATAGCTTTTACGCCAAAAAGCAATAAGTTGGGGTTGCCCAACTTATTGCTTTTGGCTTGTTTTAAGCAGTTTTTAACTTATTTTAAGCACTTTTTGCTTTTGTCAAACACTTAAAAAAGCTAAAAAGAGCTTAAAAGCTCATTTGACCAGCTTAAAAGCCAATCCAAACACCCTCAAAGCCTAAAGGTTATTCCTGTCCCTGTCCGGAAATGTTAATCATCTCTCCTTTTACGAATATAAAAGTCTTTCGGTGTATATTGTTAGACTTCCAGGGTTTTCTTTTATGTAGATACATGTTTCCTCCTATCTTCTTTTTTTCGTGTATGCATCCCATCTTCTCATCAACAATTATAGAAAATCAAATTCAACAGCTTCCTTAGGGCATCTCCAAGGGTGCACTATTTTTTGCACCAAATCTAAATTTGGTGTAAAATTTTGTGTTTTTTTGCTCCAATTGAACACCAAATCTTGCACCATTATAGTGCGTGAATAGTGTCGCACCAAATTTGGTGCGACACGATTCATCAACACCAAATTTGATTTAATATTATTTTATTCATCTTTTTATTTTTTTGGACTTTTAATTTATCATATATTGTGTATATAATTAATTTTTATATTAAGATCTTTATAATTTTACTATGATGTAATATTTATTTAATTATCTTTTATCAATGATTTCACTTTTAGTTGATTTATCCTTTAAAATAATTTTGTAATAAAAGATTATATAAGTGGTGAATGTGAATTATATGTGATGAATATGGAAAAAAGAAAAAAGACAGAATTTGTTTGAAGGAAATAAAAAATGAAATTTAAATAGAGGATAATAATATAATATAGAAGAGAGAGAAGAAATATTCTTTTTTGGTGTAAAAAATGGTGTAATGGTTGGAGTAAATTTGGTGTTACACCATTTTGGTGTGAAATTTGGTGTTAGGGTTGGAGATGGTCTTATAAACGTACGTGCTCCTAAACTCTAAATACACCCTCTCGTATTATTAGTAGTTGACTGGTCAATCTCCACATCTCAAAGCAAACTTCCTAACCACAATCAAGGAAGAACTGCTTCCTTGGGAGCAATTAGTGTCGCCATTACAAAGTACCATGTTTTACTTCTCGCAATATTTCTTCAACAGGAAGACTTGCTCTATTGTAGAAATGATTTATCTGATACTATTTCTCCATATCTCAGGAAAATATAAAGTCAAATTCTCTCATCACCTACTAACCATTCTGCTGCCCAAAATTTATTAGTATCATATGGCATGCGGTTACTAGACTACTGCTCCATTAACTTCAATTCCAAATTTATGACCCCTGAGGCACTCCTGTCCACAGGCTATCGTATCTTTTCAGCATAACAAGAAGCTAGCAAATGCTAAAATGCTGCTTCAGGTACTTTAATGCCCCAACCAATCTTGTGACCTATGAAAAAACTAAAAATAAATCGAAAGCTAAACAGTCTAGGAAAAATGTGAACGGAAATTGGCGGATTGGAAAAGAAAATAATTTCTTTAGGAAACAGAATGGTGTTTATAAATTCTGTGCTGGATGCGCTGCCAACTTAAACCTTGTCCATGTTCCAATGTTCAAATAGGTAGAGAAAAGAATTGACAAACTGAGGGGAATATCTATAGCAGGTCACAACAGGAGAAGAAACACATAAAATTGGTCAACTCGAATACTGCCAGGGCAGCCAGAAAAGAAGGGCTGGGAATAAAAAAAATAACACGGATCAACACAAAGGCAGGACATCCAACTCAGGAGACACTTCAATGATTGGGAACTAGAGAGCATATGCGAAGTTGCCAACTACTCCAGCACATCAGCAACACTCAAATATCACAAGGCATTCCAGACTATTTGATATTGAAAGGAAGCAGAAGTCGCCATTCCACAATTCAGCATACAGGTTTCTGTCCAGCAAACAAATGCTGGCTGACCATGGAAGCTCATTTGGAAAAATAAAGCACCTTACAGGGGAATGTTTCCATTGCGGGTAGCACACGAAGCATGTCCAACGGAAAACTTATAAAGGAGAGGAATTGTTATATGCAACAGATATGTGCTTTCTGAGGAAGGATATGAGGATACAAATTATTTATTCATCCACTGCAGACTGACAAGCAATTATGGGACGTGATGCTGAACCCACTGGAACTTCATGTGTATGCCAAGCAAAAGAGCTGTTACAGTGTTGGTTCAGGAGAGCATAAGAAAGCAGAATAGGAGATATGGAACACTGAATACAATCCCTGCAACCATTTGGTGGGTGGATTGGAAAGAGCGGAACCAGAGAATTTGAGAAGGAAGAAGCAATCCTTGCACTAAATTTAGACGTATATTTTTGCTATCATCTTTGAATTGGGAGACAGATGTACATGATACAGGTTTAATGATAGAATCTCTCAGTTCATTACGTGCAGTAAAAGAACCGAGCTTTTGTTACTCCCTCTGTTTCAATTTAGATGACACGCTTTCCTTATTAGTCCATTCCAAAAAGAATGACACGTTTCTACCATTAGAAATAATTTAACTTTAAACTCTTTATTTTACCCTTAATGAGAAGCTTGTATAACTACACAAATGTCATGGCCCACAAAGCTTTTACCATTTAAGCTTTTATGACCACAAGTTTCAAAAGCCTTTTTTTTCTTAAACTCCGTGCCAAGTCAAACTAACTCTTCTAAAATTGAAATGGAGGGAGTATTTGGTAATGCACAGGCCCCGCAATCACTTGATGCTGGAAAAATATATTTTACCTTCTTTCATTTATTAAAAGAAAAACAAAGGCACAAAAGTTTTGGATCAGCAACTCTAATGCTTGCAATTAGCAAAGGAAGAAAATTTGCAGCTGTTAATCTGACTTCAATGTTTGTATCGAAGTACTCATTCAATCAACACTTTCTCGCCCACAAAATAAGAGTCAGCTTATCAATTAGTTTCTCTTTACTGCTTGTCTCTGGATAGTTCGTTCACCCATATTAGGCCATCAATAAGAAGTAAATCAAAACTTGAGTTAGTTTGCCTACCGTTAATACAACAATGGCAGTGGTAGCAGTGAATATTGTCTGACCATGTCCTTCAGGAAGATCATGGACTGACTGCAAAGCAAGGGCAAAAGCCATAGCGCCTCGAAGACCTATATGTCCACATCAATAATGAGTCAAATTAGAATTGAAAATCCAAAACGTAGGTTGAAAAAATAATTTCTTCACCACTTACCACTGTACCAGAGTGCTTTTTGATGGTTTGCTGGGATCTTCCGGTGTGGAGGTCGTACAAGATTCACCAAATATGCACAACCAAACACATTGGCAGCCCTTGATGAAAGAGAGGAAAAAGATTAGCAAATTATGTATGGACAACCTCGTGATCATTCTATCCAATCTAATGCAAATTAGGGGGAAAATATAGAGCATTGGGACAATGAGCCAGGGATAAAACCATGTAGCCAAGGGTAATCCCAGATAAGAAAACAGAGTAACAAACATACCTTGCAATCACAATGAACAACTGGGGGGAACAAGAAGTTAAGGGAAAAAAGGTCGATTCACAATAACATTAAGAACGAGTTTCTATATAAAAAAGACTACATGTCAAGGATACAATTGAGAAAAAAATAAATCCAACATGGGACCAGCTATGTTTTTCCATTGCGATATCAAATCCCATATATATAAATCTGCACATTAAACCAAAAAATCAAGCATTTACTGAAGATATTTAACAAAATGGGAAGTACGGAATATCACAAATCCTCAAGAACTTGAACGCCCAACTTACACAAAGGTTTCAGCCAATGATGATATCAGATGAAAGAATGCCGACACAAATCGCTGTGAACTTTCTGATAGATTTGAGTACGTATAGCGCTTCATAACCTACAAAACCAAATCCAGAAGTACTAAGCACATATCTTAGAAATTAGAAAATGAAAAAAAATGGAGAAACGATAGATGAGAACTTACGACTCCAGTGAACAATATAGACACTATGCCAGAGAGACCAAGTCCTTCTGCCAGCATATATCTGAAAGATGATGGTTAACGATAAATTACATGCCAGGTACAAGAACAAGATAGAATGTGGAAAATTGAGGGAATCTGATGTAGTAGCTTACGAGAAATATGGAAAGAGGACAAACAAACAGCTCTCCAAGTTCTGAAGACTGCCAATGGAATTCGTGGAAATACCATCAGTATAATCACAGTCAGAAATAGATCAAGCTGTGAAAAGCTATAAAATACTTGACTTACTTGTCAATATCCAAGCCAGCATATTTGAAAAGGTGTGTGGAGTCAAGGAAACACAACGCTTTTATGAGCTAGAAAGCATCAAATACACATTTCATAATTTGAAGAGTAAAAGAAGTGGACAACAAACAGAAGAGAATGAAAAGACCAAAAAGGTAAAGGCTGAGAGAATGAGAAGATGAATAACTTCCACTGCTGTTTGGTTATGCAGGATATAAAGGTAAATAAATATAACAAAATACAGTAGAACCTTTGAGCTTATTAAATAACCATCATGGTGCATTGAAACAATTAGCGATCATAGAGGCACCGTAATCTTTAGAAGACATAGAGAATTTGGTTATAAATCATTAAGAAGGCAACCCCTTCCTGGTTCATTTTTTTTGTGCATGAGCTGCACCATCGGAAGAAAGTAGAACATGAAGGATATCAAAGCAGAAACAAATCCAACTCCAACACCTGTAGAATCATAGCAGCAAGCAGTTAGTTGACTCCAAAAAAAAGCTAGAAGTCAAATTATTAAGAAATAATCACTGATCTTAGAACAAATGCATACAAATACTGACTCCAGAAGTTTCATTTGACTTTCTTTTTTTTGGATAAATTTCTGGGCTCCAGCAGTTACAACGGAATCTATTCAGACTGCTTAAAAAGAGAGCATCTCTTGGTCTCGGGCATTTCCAGAAAATGACATAATTGGAATAGTTCAAATAGTTTTGTTTTCCTAAAAACAACACCTGCTTGACCTTCTCTTCTTATGCCAACATTAGCTTTCACTGAGAGAAGAAGATGAGAGGAAAAAAGTAAACAGTAGAAGATACTAACCAGCTGACAAGGAGCCCATAAAAGTTTCAAAAAACCGGACAGTTATCATGAAGTAATTTTGACCGGTTGACATGTTGCTTCTGACCAATGACATTGTCCTACAAAACAATCCAGTGCCTGATTTTCAATCCATCTGGCTCTATTTATATGTGCAGGTGCTCCTTGAAAATCAAATCCACAGCAATTGTTAAGCATACGTGTACTAACCTGTACAACGAAATTGCCATCTTCCAAGTGTGCAGCATACAAAGAAAAACAAAGAAATAAATACACAAGATACAAATACATAACCTTGTTTTTTGGGATAAATAGCAAATACAAAATTTAAAGTGCCAATGGGAAAACAAGTAATCGCCATAGTGAAATGTCAATTTTTCATATAAGAATGCGTAGGACTTACTGCATCATTTAAAACAGATTCCCCAAACACTAAAGCATATAGGTTCACATCTGTGCCAAGCTCCTACAATAATGTTAAAGAAAAACTCATTCAACAAAAGCACAGTACACTTAGCCAATGATGAAACAGTAGACCTAGCTATATCAATTTGAAAGTTTTGAAAAGCCAGCATCACATAAGTTGGCAAAGAGAGATATCAGAAAGATAATCAATTGGTAAAGAGAGAAATAGTTACTTGTATAAAAATTATAACAAATCCGGCAAAAAGAGATAACAGTTGCTAACAATATATAATACAAAAAGGTTTTATTTATCAAAAATAAATAAATATAAGCTAGTCAACAGATCAGATACCAAAATTGATTATTTTAAAAAAAGCAAAGCAAAGGAATGTGCCACATCAGTGCTATATTTTACTTATTCTAAAACTTATCCATCTTCAGTGTTTAAGATTTTCTCTACCTTTGTCATTCATAAAATAAGAGTAGAACTTGTCTTAATGTTCTTCTAACTGTTGCATCTAAAGTTAAAGTAATGCAGAGCTTTCAGAGTTATCTTAAAATCAGACATAGTAGCAGATGCTTGAGCACGATACTGATCAGGCGGCACTAGTGATCCTCACACTTCTTCGTGGAGGTCTTAGTGGTCTATCTTATTTTGTTTACACTTTTAAGTTGCACCCATTTTCAGTTATATGCTTCAGGTAGATGCTCCACCAACTGGTCCTACTCCACGTCCACTGTCGGTGGACAAGTTGGCTAGTATGTTATGGTTTGTCTCTAGTGGACCCATTTATTATGTGATTAGGCCATTGAGCCAAGTTTGAGACTCGGCACAGTTTTTCTTAGAATTGTTGCATGTCATCTGATGGTACGGGACCGCCCAGAGTCCCATTGTTTGTTTGACTTAGGTCAGTCAAGGTTCGCTTGGTGGTTAGATTGCTCGCAAAGTGCGGGTCACAACCTTCCAGTTTTGGGCCGTGGAAATTAGTACATTGATCTAACATATCTCTTACTCCTTACTCAGTCGGCCTTCTGCTGGCGTTCATATACACAGAACTGAAGGGCTAACATGATCAATGACATTACATTGTAAATAGTATAGATGTCACCAGAAAAGTGCTTTTTTTAGATAATGAGAAGGAATTCCTTTTATGGATTCTATTGTGTTGACATATGTTGTAAATTGTACAAAACCAAACAAACAAAAAATTAAATTATAAAAAAAAAAAGAGAAGACAGTCAAAAATGCCTAGTCTAATACAGGAAGCAAAGCAGTTGACTAGAACTGTGCAGAATGCCAATAAAGAGAGACTAACCTGGAAAATAGACAGAACAGTGACAGGATCACTTGCCGATATAAGAGCACCAAACATCAGACACTCGACAAATGGAAGTTTGTACATGAGATACGTAACTCCACCAAGGTAACTGCAAAATTTGCATTCACAATAAATTAATTATATGAGCGTGGAAACTGATAATACAGAGAAAATCATAGACGCAAGCAGTACTCACACCAGAATGCCTGTGACAATAGAAGCAATGAAAGTTCCTAAAATAGCAAAAGTGATAATTGCTCCAAAGTTTGAAAAGAACGGTTTCTGCTTACAGCATCAATAAAAGCCATAATGTTAAGCAATGCAAAAACAAAAGGAGGTTGCATATCAAGTAAGTAACAAGAGAAGAAAACTTACAGGTGATAGACTAAATCCTGACTGAGTAAGCAAACGAGGTCAAGGAAAAGAACTTTTGCAAATAAATTCACGAAGAAGCTGAATATTTAACTACGGCACGTAGAACGAAAACAATAGAAAATTTCTGCAAGAAAGAATCTAAATGTGGATATAATATGATCGGTGGCAATAAAAAGAGAAAGAAGAACTCTTCATGGAAGTTAAACCATGCCCTGCCAAGCAAGAAGCAAAAGGAAAAAAATAAAAAGAGTCAAAAGTCCAGCAACAAGAATCTGTAGAAATAAATAAAATCTTCAAGAACCAAATGGTGATGAAAATTCAAAAAATTACCTAATGCTTGTTTCTGTATTTGATATATTAGCCAATCCTCCTACAATCAAACCTGCCACAAAGAAAATCCATGCAACATAAATTTCAGCAAGTTCCAAGATAAAAGGGTACCTCAATCGATCAAGTCAATAGCATATACTGAACAACCTTCAAAATACAGTACTCGAATTGCATTTTACTGACTCACTAGAACAATGAACTATTACCAACATCAACCAAACCAAAATATCGCAATCCCAAACTAGATGAGTTCAGCTATGTGAATATTCTATTCACTCTGCCCCCTTTGGGTCTCATTCATTCTAATACTCAATTTATGGGTTCTCTAAAGCTAGATAACACACTAATATACAGAGCTCTAACCAAACTAACAAGACTCCTAGGCCTAACGTAAATGCACCAACAACAACTAAATTCCCAACTCGTCGACAAAGCCTAGATGGATACTTTGCTCCACTGACTTCTTAAACAATTGCCCACGACAGCAAAGTCAAATTGGCGCAACAACATTCCCGGCAAATTCCAGCTAAAAGGATACCTCATTTTTTTCTTCTTCTTTTCTTTTTATGGCGGAAGTGTTTGGGCTAGCTTGCGTGTACCTCGACTATTCCACCGGAACTTGCTACCTCCCACCAGCACAAGTACCAGGTAACTACCCACCAAAAGATTTTTTTTCCCTTTGATAAGGTAAAGTATTATTAATAAAAAGTATACCAAAAGGGTACACAAGAGTGCAAAACAGAGCCTACAGAGAACACCCTAATCCAAAAATTCCAGATACTGGTCCATACTTTCTGATAAACACCTGGTACACCAGAAAACAGATTATGCAGATATAAATTTTTAAGACTAAAAATATTATTCTTTTTATTCTCAAAGCAAACACTATCTCTTTCTGTCCAAATGGTCCAGAAAAGGCACAGGGGAATGGTCCTACAAAGCTGCTTCTGAGACTTTATTCTTTTGCACTTGCTTGACTTAGACTCCTAATATATGAAGGCACAGCCCAAATGACATCATAAAGATTCAGGAAGAGCTCCCAGCATTCCTTAGCAACTTTGCAGTGAATAAAAAGATGATTTACCGACTCCAAGCTTTCTCGATTCTTCACATAGATAACACCTGCTGCTTAAGGAAAGCCTCTTCTCTGTAGATTATCTTGAGTTAAACAGGCTTCTCTAATAGCAACCACATCCAAAACAATCCACTTTGATAGGTGCTTTGGTTCTCTATAGCATTTTCCATGGCCAATTCAGTACATAAATAATCACATTGTTTTTGGAGAAGAGTGTAACAGCTCTTAACAGAATACTTCATTTCATTTCTATCTGTCCAAACCATGGCATCCTCTCTAGCTTCTTCAACCACCACCATCTCCAGTATTTGAAATAATTGTCCAACTTCTTCCAACTCCCAATCATTAAAATCTCTTTGAAAATTTAGCTGCCACCCACTAGGAGAATAAAAATCAGAAACAGTCCCTGCTTTTTTGGTGGAGCAGTTGTATAAGGTAGGGAATTTAATGTTCAAACTTACGCCCCCCCCCCCNNCACATCAGTCCAAAATTTGATTCTGACACCATAGCCCAGTTTCAGTTTAGTGTATTGTTGAAAATGATTCCATAGTCTACTGATGTTACTCCAGATATCACCCTTTGAAGAGCTTTGACACGCAGGGGGACACCCTTTGAAGAGCTTTCACATTTATCAAATTCTTCCAAATGCTTACTTTTCCATCATTATATTTCCACAACCATTTATATAATAGGATTTTATGTGTAGTCTCAAGTTCCTGGCCCCCATGCCTCCTCCTTATCAGTATCACATTTTGCCATTTGACAACATGATTCTTTCTTTTTTCTGCATTTCCTTCCCATAAAAAGTCACTCCTAATAGTGTTCAATTTCTTTACTGAAACAGAGACATCAGATCCGTTGGAATCCCATCCAACGCACTACTTACGAAAGTGAGTCTGCCTCCAAGTAATAAGTACTGCTTTTTCCATGTTGTTAACTTACTGGAACACCTATCCAGCTTTTTCGGATGAGAAAAATCACCTAGTGGTTTTTTGTGTGAAAGGTACCTCAATTTGAAAATGCGATGGTATATTAAGAGCAAACTATGGAAAACATTACTCATATACGCATTTTCAAACATACATTATTATATAAACCCAGAACACAAAAATGGAAAATTGAAATGCGAAAACCCTACCCATATTAGCATTTTTAGACTCACATTATAAGAACCCAGAAACTGAAATTTAAACGCTAAAAATAAGAAAAAAATTAAACAATACACAAAAGGAAAAAAGGAGAAGTGAAAGAGTACCAATTAAAAGAGAGGCACTGGCTTCAGGAATATAATAAAAGCGATGACGACGAAGGACATGACCAAGCACAAATGAGAGTACAAGCATCATGATCTGAAGAAGTATGCCTACTCCAGCGGCTTGTTGCTCTTTCCCTGGACTTGTTTTTGCCCCGGCCGGAGAAATCTGAAGATGATCCTCCATTGGAAGTAAACACTGACTGCAATTTATGCAAAGTCAGCAAAAGCGAAGAAGAAAACCACCCACTTTGATCAATTATCGTTTATTAGAGAGTTCAATTGGTGATTTTTAAGGAATCAACGGCGAAACCTAGGAAATTTTCCGGTAACGCGCTGGCCTTTGAGACGTTTACTCGTTTGGGTTTTGCTTGTTTGAAAAGGCTTTTTGTGAGACAGATGGAGAGTATCTACAGAGGTCAGGTCTTGAAAGTTAAGCTGACAAATGGAAAAATTCATAAGTAGAAGGTTGTTATGAAACAATAAAAGAAGAAGAGGAGTATTGCACAGCAAAGCAAGAAAGAATTCTTATTGATATTGGCATGAATTACAATAGAATAGAATCCTCTATTGATAGGGATAAGGTGACTTAGCCACCAAGCAATGAACCCTAGAATCTCTCTAAATATAGACATTCACCATAAATACAATTCTATTTATAACACTCCCCCTTGAATGTCTATTCAACAGATAATGTGCCTCGTTAAAACCTTAACTAAAATAAAATCCAATGGGAAAAAAATTCTAGAGAAGGAAAAAGAGTACACATATCTACAATACACCTTTTGGTTGCCTCGTTAAAAAACTTGCAAGGAAAACCCAGTGGGACAAAACCTTGTAAGGGAAAAAGAGTACAACGCGTATTAACTCCCCCTCATGAGAGCATCACTTCACATCTTTAAGCATTTGCATTCCAATCTTGTGCACCATCTTCAAAAGATCTTTGGTAGATATTTGATAAACAAATCAGCCATATTAACTTTAATGAATATATTGCACCTTGTAATCATCATTCTTGATAGAGATGGATTGTCTTCATATGATCTTGTTGGAATCTTCAGTTCAATATCTTCACATAGAGGTGAAAACTCTTGCTATCATATTATCATACATATAGTTATAGCAAGATACATTTGTGCACAAATTGCATTGAGGATATAGTACTTCATGACTATGAATTCTATATGCTTTAAGCAATTTAAATCCTTTAGGGATTGTTAAGTTATATAAGCCATATAATAGACTTTAGATGCATATCAAGTTTTCATGTCATGCTAGACATATAAGATATCGAAAACTGATTGCACATACCATTGACTTATACTTTCAAGTGTTTGAACTACATGTTCAAAACTACATGGCTTTCATATGAAACCAATTCTATTTGAATTGTTTCTTCAGACTTAAGATCCTCATATATATATATATTTAGCGCTATCATAGATGTCGACAAACATTTTATATCAGTTTCAATATTTTTTTCATAAAGACATAACATAGAGATCTCTTCATTCATATTTTCAGGTACCTGAATCTCTCTTGAGATTTTATGAAGTGTTATGTCATGTGATCTTCTAGATCACTTGCCTCCTTTATTATGATCATTTTGATCATTTGCTCATCTTCTTTATCAAGGAATTTATTTGAAACCGATTTGTCTATATGCTTTAAGCGTACTATAGACTTTGTCCTTCTAGGACTTATTCTAATAGGAGCATTTGCAATGAGAATATAGTTACTTTCTTCGGGTCAGCAAATGCGTCTGGCATGCTTTGCAATAAATTGCACATGAATTATCCTTTTATGAACTTCAAGTTCATATTATTTTATTGGGGATCTAGATGTATAAATGATAATTCATTCCATGTAACTTTTTCTCAACTGTTGTATCTTGTCTCCCCCTCGTGTTAGAAAAACTAACTTGTTTCCTCAACTTTGAGAACCCATCTTTGTGTGTTATGGTGCTAATCAAAATATACACCGCACATCAATAATAATGAGATAGAATTATTTGGTTCATGACCTTGAAACCACTTGTGAGGGGAGAATGTAATATACTTTCGTATATAACCTATATCAAACTGATATAGATAACTTTGTTCTCATAAGCAATAGTTTAGCTATTAAGTGGAGGCACTCATAAATTATTTTGCTAAACCAATTGTGATGTAAATCAACTTATCAAGAAGAACTATCTTGAATAAAAAATCTGGAAATTATGCTCTATATTAAATTATTGAGCAAGTTACCTTGCAAACACCATGTTGCGGGTCAATAATAATTGCACATGTAACCATCTCATAAATGCATCTTATGTGGTATACATGGCAGGTGAATGGGCTCATATTCACCTTTGATATTTCCAGCATTCATGGGATTCAATCCCAGTTTTAGTTGATCTATTAATTAATGAGAACAAGCAATATAAGAGAATTCGTAAAGAACTTTCTAGTTCTTTAATATTTACCCATGTGAATTCTCTATTATTTTTGCACATCATACATGAATTAACATGGCTAAACCAAGTATGCCAACTGGATAAATTATCAATATTGATAAACTTCAGGTTTACACCATGATGTGTGCAATTATGAATAAACTCCAAGTTTATTATGATAAGGGTTTTTATATCAATAAATATCCACTTCATTGTGGTATTCTTTTGTTTATGTAGTACAAATTGGAGAATAAAGCGGGTAGCTTTTCACATACATATTACCCCGCTACAAGATGTAGTAATAGAAGATATTAAATCTTTCCTTTATTTATAGTATCAATATAATCAATCGCTTTCGCGTATACTTTGGAAACTGAATAAGTTTCTTTGAGACTTACTACAACACAATACCTTATTGGTAATTAATTGTGTTTCTCCAAAATAGTATAATTGGCTCTTGCAGAGTTCTCAATTAATTTGTAGTACCACATATTCATCAACACCCATATGGTGAATATCTCTTTTAATGAGAAAGTTATACCATTATGGTTATGGCCAAAATTATATGCAAGATCTGTTTCTTGCATTACCGTTAACTTTTAATAATCACAATGCCAAAATATTTTGGCGTACAATAGGTACGTGACCAATGACCATGCATGCCATAATAATAATATTATTTTCTTATATCATCTCAAACCTCCTTTTAGAGGTGAGTGCGGTATATTCACTACCACTAGCACGTTCATATTCTTTGAAGAATGAATATGTATTCATAAATCAGATGTTGTCACATTCACATCATGAATTGACCATAATCATCTATACGTGCTTTATAAAATCTCATGTCAAATCGATGACAAATATTTTCACAAAGTGGGGGATTATTTTGAGAATCCTTATTATTCTCATTATCACAATGATGACGATTATAATTTCGTCTATTGTCACGTCCACATCCATTGATACATTCATAGTGATAATTTTGTCTTCTTTCAGACTTATCGCATACTGCTATCACATTCTCTTAGAGGAATGAGAATGGAGCAAATTCAATGGGACGGGTTTCCACTTTTTGTGCCCATAATCATACATGCTTTTGATCATAGCAAGACATAGAAATTTTTACCACTTCAGGTGGTTATAATTTCTTACAAACTTCATTAGAGTTATAATCAAACTTTGTTGTCTTTGCTTGTATTTAAAATCAAAGTATAGAATAAAAAAGAAAAATACGGTAAAAATACTTACCTTAAATCCTGAATTTAATCATGAAGGAAGTTCATGGAATAATTGACAATCATTATGCTCAATCCCAAAGCTTCTACTCAATTGGTTAGAGTCTCGTGCTGATAACGTGTTGTGAAACAATAAAAGAAGAAGAGTATTGCAGAGCAAAGTAGAGAGAGAGAATTCTTATTGATATTGGCATGAATTACAATAGAATAGAACCCTCTATTTATAGGGAGAGAGTGACTTAGCCACCAAGCAATGAACCCTAGAATCTTTCTAAATAAAGACATTCACCAAAAATACAATTCTATTTATAACAGTGAATGAATAATAAAAAGGGAAAGGTCAAAGCAATAGAAAATGAAAGAAAGAAAGGGAAACTTGTATTAAAATATATATATATATATATATTAATCATATATAATAAATATATATATATATATATATATATATATATATATATATATTATATATATATTATATATATATTAGAGTCTAATTTTGTTTGAGGAGAAACGAGAAAGAAATTGTGGGAGAAAAATTTATTTTCCTATTGGACCTACAAATTTAAATCTATGAGATAAAAAGGCTAATAATTTTTGGCGTATATATCACTTTAACGCCGCGCAATATAATATATTATATTATTATTATTATAAAGCATGAATAAAATGTTGGATTTACAAAAATAACCTTTTAATATTAGCATTAAATAACTCAAGAATAAAAGGACGTAATTGAAATTCTAGACCATTAGCCTTGTATCCTATTAGTTTTAGGACATAATACTACAAGTTATAAATCCTACATAAATACTGTAGAATCCTATTATCCTTCAAATATTTTTCAAATCTGTTGGATTAGAATTGTCATAAATTTTATGACTTTCCAAAAATTTAAGAGCATTGATTTTCAATTAAACTTCGTGGCGATTTTTTTAACTTTTAAGCCACTCAAGGTAGATTCCCATTAAGATTGGTAAAACAAAGTTGAATTATTTCCTATAAGAATTAGAAGCAGAACGAACGACTTTAATTTTATTAGGTGTGGGAGTTCTTTTTTCAATTGAAATAGCTATCAATAGTATAATATAAAAATAGAAAAATTAATATTAAAAAGATTTATAGTTTCGGAGGATAGATATATAATTACCAACATGTTAGCATAATGTAAACCTAATACCTTTAAGGAAACATGTTCAGATTTCTTATTAGTAATAATTACTTTCGGAATATGGACTATTTTTAGCCATGTAAATTCTATTACTTTTAGAATGTACTTCTTATATATATAAAAACACGATAGACAAACAGCCCTAATTATTAAACAGAAGGAAACTCATAGGAAAAAGACATAACTGTAATAACTTTTTTTTTTGGACTACAACAACTTCTTTGTTACATTTTTTAATATTTTAATATTTTCCTCCATATTGGTAATACATTACCGCTGCTATCAAATTACCAAAAAACAAAATAAAAGTATATTAAAGTACTGGGTGGTAGCGTATGGCAAAAAAAAAAGAAAAAAATTAAAGAAAAAAAGCGTTGAGATTGAGAAGAAAAAACTCTCACGATAATATATTATTATATTTATATTTGAACCTGCTTTCCTACTTAAATTAATATTTAATTATTATTAAATTTTCATGTAATATTGAAAAATATACCCAATTATTAAAGAACAACTAAGAAAGTTTGTAAGATCGTAAATGTTGGAGAAAGAGCAAAGAAAATATTGGGAGTCATACCATCTAATGATTTTGCAAACATTAAAGAATCTAAAAGTGTAATGTCAAAATCGATCTTTGTAACTCT